TTAATTTTAAGGATGCAAAACCCTCTTTTCCGTGTTGTTTCTTCTTTAGAAAATGTCGTGTCTCAAACTCTCCCCAGTAGTGATCCAAACACACTTTTCATCCTATTTGCCAGCACTTTCGAAATTTTTTATAAACCACGTTATAAAGCGTTATCGGTCTTCAATCCCCTAACTTCTCAGGTTTATCCTTCTTTGGTATTATGTTGGTCAAGTTTAGTTCCTTAGACATTATACAGGTCTCGAAAATCCCTCTACATAGTTGTACAACCTCCGGTCCCACAATATCCCAATATTTCTAAAAAAGCCGAATTCATGGAGCTTTCTTAGGGTGCATGTCAAAAATTGCCTCTTAACCTCCTTCGGAGTAATTGCTCATTTTTCGGATTCTCCTCTCTGTTAATTTTCCGAAAATGTCTCAACTCTTCCATCCACTCCTAACGCTCATGTTCAGCAAGAAGAGTAGTAAAATAATCCCTAACAATCGCTGCCACTTCTCCTCTATCTATGACCCACACTCCACCATCCGTGTGAAGACCAAACATTTTATTTCTCCTGCGCCTAGCCTTTACAGAATTATGAAAAAAGAGGGAATTGACATCTTCATCTATGGGTGGACTCGGTTCGGGCCGGGCCCGGTTTGGGCCTTGAACCGGCCGGGCCTCGGTTCAAGGTAGGGGAGGCCCGGAACCGGCCCGGGTCACCCCCGGGTCCGGTTCGGGCCGAGTTGGGCCCGGTTCGGTTCTATATAAATTTTTTTTGGGTTTTCCTAATCAACCCCCTACCCTCCCCCTCAACCCCAACCCACCCCAAACCACCTCAAATGGCCCAAAATACACAATCCAACCTAAAAACTTAAAAAAAAAATTCAAAAAAAAAAAATAAATCCGGCCCGGACCGGGCCCGAACCGACCGGGCCGGTTCACCAAAATGAAGGCCCGAGCCCGGAACCGGTAGCCACCGGGCCGGGTCGAACCGAACCGCCCATGGGCCGGGCCGTCGGGCCGGGCCGGTTCAAACAGTGACCGGGCCGGGCCGGTTCCGGTTCAGGCTGCCCGGCCCAAGTCCACCCTTATCTCCATCTTTCAGCCAAAATTCCTTTGCTCTCTGTTTCAAATACTGATTCTCCTTCTCGAGGAGGTCTTGTATAATTAGTTGAACTCGAGCATACTCTGCCGCACTACTTTGATCATCCAATTCTCTCAATCGTGCCAATCTTTTTTGGTATGCAATAATTTGATGACGGAAGCCTTTCATTCTTCGTCCGTCCCATCTCTGTAATTCCTTTCCACATAAATTTACTCTATCACTCACATTCATTCCAGCTCCTGCCCTCCAGCTATTAGCTACAATTGTATGACATTCTTCCTCTCTCAGCCAGCTATTTTCAAAATGGAATTTTCTGGAATGCCTTACATGAACTGTAGGATTAAGTTTCACCCACAAAGCCATATGATCACGAGCCGGGGCTTCAATTGAAGAAGCCTTTGCTTCCATAAAGTACAGTTATCCCACCAATAATCATTGACAAGAATATGATTCAACTTCACTTCAACCCAATTTATCGAGCCTTTCCCCCGTTCTCAGGTCCACTGATACCCATCAAAAGGGAAATCTCTTAGACCACTTGCTAATATTGCATCCTTGAAACCCTGAAGTCTCTATCCTGGGTGTGGTATTCTTCCTTTTTTTCTCGGAATCATATAAAATACTGTTCATATTACCAATCACCTTCCATGAGAAGGAACTTCCTTCGGCAAACCACGAAGCATATCCCAGGCTACCCTGCGTTTGATCGTTTCCAGGTACGCATAATAACTCGTAAATCTCCACGTCAGGTCTCCATCCGCAAGATGAATCTGCCCATTGATGTAATTCGGATTTTCCTCCATAATATTAACCTCATCATCTCCGTTCTATCCCATAACCTGCTCGCCACTCCGCCCATCGCAATCCGACCCTGCCGCATGATTGTAGCCCATCGATCTCAGTATGTCCTTTGCCCTTTGACAGCGTAGCTTTGTTTCCATCAAAAAGACAATCGAAGGTCTATACTGTTGGACAATATCCGTCAAGCCTTGAATTGTGGTCGGGTTACCCAGCCCCTGCAAATCCAACTAACCAAGCTCATCTTGATCATCACTCCGAGAGAGAAATAGCCAAAACCGACCGATAACCGAGGTTACTGTTAGACAAATCCGCTAGGCGGAACCCTAGACCGCGACCGCCGAATCGAATTGTTTTTTATCTTTTGCATATGTAATTTAAATACACTAACTCTATATAAAAAGTTATTTAAACACTGTGATCATGTATTATTTCTTTCATAAATTTATGATGTTAATGACATAATTTAAAATAACAAATTAGAAACATTGTAATTATATAGATTGAAGGTAATATTACTTATTTGACAATAGAATTTAAGAATGTTAATTGTGTGTTCATGAATGCTAAAATATACTCCGTATTAAAGTATGCAATTAACAGCACAAACTTATATTTTTGAAATAAATAATATTTGATTATTGCTAAAATAATTTGTTATATAAAATTCGGGATATTTAAGTTAAATATGCAAGTTTGTAATCTTCCAAGTTTGAGTATTTCATTATTTTTGTTTTAAAATTAACACTCTTCTCTCTCCGTTCATAGTTTCATACGGAGTATTTTGTATTTTAATTTTTTACAAAGGTACTTCGTAGTAGAATATTAAGTTTTTGTCCCTTTTAGTCCTCCAACTATTATGTCTTTAACATTTTTGGCACACGACTTTGAATTTTTCCATTTTTAGTCCTCCGATTATTATGTAATTGACACTTTTGGTACTCGACTTTGAGTTTTTCCACATTTAGTCCTTCAACTTTCATAAATTTGACACTTTTGGTCTTTCAAATTTTTAATAGTGACATTTTTAGTCCTCCATTTATTGTGTCAAATTCATAGTAGAAGGACTAAAAGTGTCAATTTTATAATACTCAGGGGACTAAATGTGGAAAACATTGAAGCCGAGGACTAAAAGTGTCTATCGCACAATAGTCGAGGACTAATTATGGAAAAATTGAAAGTCGAGTACCAGAAATGTCACCTCTTTTCTAAAAATCTTTCTAGGCACCCGACTAGTCCCCGCCTAGGCGCTAGGCGGTGGTCGGGCGTCCCGAATTTGTCTAGGCGCTAGGCGGTGGTCGGGCGTCCCGAATTTTGTCTAGGCGGTCCGACTAATTGGTTTGCCGTGTAGGTGAATTAGTCAACCGCCTATGGTGCCTAATTGCCCGCCTCGAGCGCCTAATTGGCCGCCTAGGCCGTCTAGATTCGCCGAACATTACTTCACTTTTTAATTTTAATTTTCTAAGCGATATACGTATTTTAACTTTACCCGATATAAAGTAATGAAGTTGTAAATTAAGATAAAGCTATTTAGTTTGTATATTTACCTAAATTTTATCATTATTTATATTTATAACATAATGAAGTTAAGTGAATAGTTATCATATACTACGTATGATTATATGTGACAATTCTATCATTCTTAATGTGTATGTATATATGTATTTTATACACACAAAAATACAATAATATTACTTATCATATTTATGCAAAAATATAGACAAAAATGCAATTTCTATGTTTCCGACTAGTCTCTGACTAGGCGCCCGCGTAGCGTCTAGCGTCTTTTAGAACATTGAAGGTCACTGATTCAATAGATTAAGGAGTATCAAATATGGTACGGAATAAAACTTTATGGATGGATGAAAAAGATAAAATTGCAAGAAGTTAGAACATTTCCAATATTACAATGTGCACTAGAGCATTTCCAATACTACAATGCGACATGAAAGAGACCGTTACAAAATATTGATTTTATGCATCTGGTTCTTTCTGTGTATGTAATACTGCCCAAGGGAAAAATCCATGGCTGCCGCCCATTTCTCACCAGTCCCGTTCTAGCCAACATCAACACAGAGAAATGGTGATGGCAAAAACGTTTAATTATCGATTTCAAGTATTATTTGTGGGCAGGGACGGATCCAGGATTCTGAGTCAAGGGGGGCGAAATTTTTTGCTAGTGTAGGGGGTGAATTTTTTTTGTTAGTGTAGCGGGGTTAAATTTTTTCCCTAGTGTAGCGGAGCGAAATTTTTTCGTTGCTGTAAAGCTATGCGGCTATTTTTATTCAAAAAATTACATTAATACATGCACATCCCGAGCGGCATTTAAATCTATTACATTCTAAGTTTGGACGATGACAAAAATATCAACCAATACATTTTTAATAACTTCTACATTGTTTAACCTCATGAATCGGTTATTGAATTGTAATTTTTGTCCACCAATGAGGGTGTTCGTGAGTCATGACTCATGAGAAGTTTTCTTAATATTACAATAGTAGTATACTAGTATGTATGAGATTGTTATTTTTAGAATAATATGCACCACATACACACAAACATATGGTGCATATTATATTTTAATATTTTTATTAATTCTATAATAATTTAAAGTTTATTATCCATGCAATAAGTAAATGAATTATTTACTTTTTTTTAGAAAGCAAGAAGTAAATGAATTATGTAATCTAATGTCTATAAATATTTATATTTTGGATTCATTTCACGTGATCTAAAAGTTGTGTAGTTAGTGTGTCTGGTATTTAATATTGTTTAATATATGTTTTACAAAATCTAGTACTTGTTATCTAATAAAGATAATTAAACATTACAAAACTATGAATTCTTATATAATAAGTATCCTAAATCTTAAATAACGAGTTACTCTATTGTTTATTTGTTTAAGTTATGTAAATTATTTTAGATGTTTCTTCTTTTAAATCTCCAATTAAGTATTACATTATGTAAGACTATATACTAATTTTGAAAATTAAAAAAGCTAAGGGGGGCGAATCTAAATAAATTATGAAAGTTTTATGAAAATATTACATATATGGTAAAAAAAATTGAATGTCCAAGGGGGGCGGTCGCCCCCCGCGCCCCCCCCCTAAATCCATCCCTGTTTGTGGGCCTTATGTCTCAGAAGCTCCATACCAGAGCATTCACTCTGCAGTAGTTTTCCAGAACGATAAGATAGAAATGCCCGTCTATTTTCCCAAAGGTTTCCGAATATCATCTGCTTGGTTAATTGCCTTGAACCCAGCCGGGCCGCCTCGCAAATCTTCCATTCACCGGAATCTCGCCGCAGAGTATTTATGGGGTTGAAATCATTTGTTGAAGTTCATCCGGACTCGCACTTCCCCCTCGAGAACCTCCCATATGGCGTCTTCAAGCGCAGCCACTGCTCTGAAGCTCGGCCCGGCGTCGCTATCGGAGACTATGTCTTGGACATCTCGGCGGTCGCCTCCGCTGGTCTTTTCGACGGCCCTTTTCTAAAAAACTGTGACTGCTTCAATCAGGTTCCTACTATAGCCGCCGCATGATCTTGGTTTGTTCACTCTTAATTGTGCGTGTCTTTATTAAGAGATTATAAGTAGAGCCGTCTAGCCGGTCAGCGGTCAAAATGGGCCGAAATCCACGAATTGGCCCGTTTAAACCCATTTATTGGTGGGTTAGGGTTGAGATTTTTTGACTCATTTAATTCGCGGTTTCGCGGGTCAGCCCACGCGGGTTGTGGATTTAAGTGGGTTACGGGTTGGCCTGCGGGCCAAAATACAAAAATATAGTTTTGAATTTTATTATCTAAAATATTGTTCTTTTACTACCAATATTATTATAATTATAATTAAAAAAGTATTATTCTTTTATTTCTATAATAAATATTCAATAAAATGTTGAAACATATATTTTTGTGAAGTTCGATACAATATTTAACAATTAGTAGTCATTATTTGCAGATAATTAATCAAAAGTTTTATGTAAATCTTTATTCTTATAACAATTAGTAGTCATTATTTGTCGCATAGCCTCTTATAATTTTCAAATTCTCGTATAACTAGTATTTAATATTTTTAATTAAACTTAACAAGTATTGAGTTTTTAGTATTTTGATTTCTTATATTTCCTTTGTTACTACTCCCTCCGTTCTTTAATATAAGCCCTCTTAGGCTTTGGCACGGGTTTTAAGAGGAAAATAGTAGGGGTAGTGTAAAAGGTGTAATGAGTAGTGGGTAAATGAAAAAGTAGGAAAGAGAAAGGGGTAATGGTAATAAAAGTGGGGGTATAAAGGTATATTTAAAGTAAAAATTTTCCTTAAATGGAAAGGAGGACAAATAAAAAAAAACGTCCCAAAAAGGAAAGAAGGACTAATAAAAAAGAACGGAGGGAGTACTTGCTAATATAAATATATACTTCCGGGTAATTATTTTTTTTTTAAAAATTCGTTTTATATTTTTTAACATTGGCCCGCAGGCCAACCCGTTTAAATCACGGGTTAGGTGGGTTGGGTTAGGGTTGTAGAAATCTTGGCCCGTCATTAAACGGGTTGGCCCGACCCAACCCACATAAAGCATAACCCGTTACTGGTCGGGTCGGTTTGGGTCGGGTTGGCCCGTTTGACAACTCTAAGATTAAGCTGGTGATGTGACAACTTTTGGTTTGTTTGTTTGCTTTTGTGTCAATCATTAGTATTCGAAACCCATAAGTTTTATACTCCGTAAAAGTGGTACTATACATTGAGATCATAACGTTAAACTTTGTCATGGTATATTAAGTTTTTTATTTTTAAGCTTATACGTATATTTCCATTCCCATAGATGTTAGGAAAGAAATAAGATGCTAATGAACTTTTTCTTCTCTTGTGTATGATTTGTTATGTGAGATGCAAAAAGGAAAAAAAATTATTCCATGTCAATGAAATGTACATGGAAATGTTTAATTAATTATGAAAGAAACATGTGGTGCAGCCTTGTCTAAACAAATTTGTAGAACTCGGAAGACCGGCTTGGAAGGAAGCACGTGCCACGCTACAAAAGTTATTATCGAGTATTCTTCTTCGGCTCGATCTGTTATACTACTCTGTATTTGCTTTCAAAGCACCAAATTGTACTCTGTTTTATATGGATATCTACTTATTCATGCAGAGAATGAGCCAACATTACGTGATAATGCTAACTTGAGGCAACAAGCGCTTGTTCCAATGGTTGGTTAGCAGCATATGGGAAAACTTTTCAAATACTAATAGTAGTATAATACTGTCATCCTCAAATCATATATTGATGCATTATGACATTACAAATGAACTAATATGGTAGTACTGCTTACTGGTCATAATATGATATTGTGATTTTAGGATGACTATAATTATTCCTTTTTTACGAATAAAATCATCGTACTCGTAATCAAGGAAAACACATGTTTTTAACTCGCAATTTCTTTACTATAAAATGTGTATATATACACTACATATATTGACATATTGTGTTGATATAAATGTGAAATTCTTCATTCAGGACAAGGTGCAGATGCTTCTTCCTGTTGCAATAGGAGACTACACAGACTTCTATTCATCCATAAATCACGCTAGAAATTGTGGGCTTATGTTCCGAGGTCCCGGGGAACCCATAAAGCCCAACTGGTAGAAGCTAGGAAGTCTGAAACTATCATAAATATATTCTCGTCTAATCCTGATTAGTTCCTAACCAGGGTGTTATGTTCTAAGAGAAAAACTTACCATAACTATTTTCTCTTATACGTGGTTTTGCCTTGCAAAATCAATTGCTATTAACTTGCTTCAAAATTTTCCCTCGGTCACAGTGACATATTTCACGGTGTCCAGTGGCAGCTACGGTGACACTAGTGGTGGCAACTGTGACACTGGTAGTGATTGCAGTGACATTAAAGAAACTGCCACTGACATTATGACTTTCCAATTTTATTATCGAGAACCTTTTTTGTCACAATTTTGTCCATATATAAAAGTAGTTACCTTTTAGTTCATACGTAGTATATAAAAATTTGGAGTAATATTTAAGGAAGACTTTCTAATTCTATTAATTTGAGATAATCTTTTATTTTCTGCCAATTTTAATTTTCATCCAATTTTCTTCTCCATTTCCTCCCAATCCCGTTTTCCTAGTAATTTCAGATTTCCAGAATCCAGACAGACCAGTGTTCTTTCCCTGTGTTCATCTTGACTTTTATTTTCTTGTTTTTTTGTCTTCTAAGGTTCCATCTTCCCATCGCGTACCATGGACGAGCATCGTCTATTGTCATCTCTGGCACTGATATAATTAGACCAAGGTGACAAAACATATAGTCCTCTACTCCTCTACCATCAGATTATTTCTCTACTTGTTCAAGAAGTCTATGCAAAGGGCTACTTGCTTTGTGTCATACTGGTGGAAAGGCAACTTTTTTTGGTTCTGTGTCTACGCAAAACATTTTCAGCAAAAGTGTGTTCGTTAAAGTGTTTTCAGGACAATGAGTCTAAAAACTAGGTTTTGAAAGCTATGTGAATATAGTTTTCAGAGCAAGTATTTTAAAAAGAGCTTCTAAAAGACATTATTGCAATGGAATTACCTCATATAGGTGTAAATACAATGTGAGTATTATGTGTTTTCTCTATATATGTGTATTTACCGTTATCATATTATAGCATTAATGTTCTCATTTTGAGCTTGATTATACCAAAATACAACTGTATGATTTTCAGAATAACAGTATTTACTTTTATTAGAGAATAAAAACTAGTAACTCCGATTTGGGGAAACCTCATCATTTTTACTTCTATTTTGAAAATTTTTCTTCTTTAGAAGTTCAAAATGGGAGATTCTGAATTTTAGTCCCCTCTTAAGAAAAGTAAAACCACTTTTGTAAACTCCTTAGACACATATCCTTCAACTTTTAGATTCCAGAAAAACACTTGGTGTTTCAGATCTCCAAAAGCTAGGCCGAATAGAGGCTCAACACCTTGTGACTAATTAACCTCTCCAGAGCTAGATGAGTAATGGAAAAGAACTGTTTCTTCCTATATTATGTTATGTGCTGCCTACTACATGGCTTTGAATCTTGGTCAAACTTGTAGTTCCAATTTGACACCATGCATTTCCTTAAATGACTTGTGCAATTGGATCATTTTAGAGGACAAGATCGTCCAGTTGGAAACTCTCCTCCATATTTTGGACCTTCACGAAAGATGGACTTTGAGCTTGAATTGGTAAGACCAAAAAACCTATCTTTCCACCCACGTAATAATCCAGCAGCGATCAACTTTTTTCATCTTCTATTATTTTTTCTGCTAAAAGGCAGCTGTAGTTGGTCCAGGAAATGAATTAGGAAAGCATGTAAATATTAATGAAGCTGCAGATCACATATTTGGGCTTGTTTTGATGAATGACTGGAGCGGTAAATTTAATCTTGTTTTAACTGTTCAATTTTTTTCACTGTAATGTAAAATTTAATAAACCGTAATGGAATGCCATGTGACGTAGTTAACTACGTATGTTTTCATTACATTGTTTTCCGTCACTTCTTACCAAACGTTACCTAAATTGGATGGCTACAACAGCTCGAGATATTCAGGGGTGGGAATGCATTCCACTAGGTCCGTTTCTTGGGAAGAATTTTGGTAAGTGATTGAATTTTTCATGTGTAGCAATGACTTTATGGTGTTATCTTTCATTATCATCTCAACTTTGTATCTTTTATGTTTATGTTCTCTATAAGGTACAACCACATCTCCCTGGATTGTGCCTTTAGATTCCCTTGAGCCCTTTGGCTGTGAGGCTCCAATGCAGGTTAAGCTTATTTCATATCTTTAGAGCACTAAAAAATGTCCTAATTAAAGGGCACTAGAAATTTTGCAAGGGCTTGGACATGTAATCGGTCAACCATGCCAGAAATATAGCATTTCTTTGTTAGACAGCTATGAAGTTCAAATAACGAGAATCCTTTTTCCTCTACTTCTCGCAGAACCCACCGCCTTTGCCATACCTCACAGAGAAGAAGCCCAAAAACTATGACATTTGCTTGGAGGTACTTTAATACATCCATAACCAAAATTTATTTATTTTTGCTTTAGAAAATGTGATTTTATATTGCCCGGGACGCTTGAAAGAAAACCAATCCTCTTTTGTTGCAAGGTTGCGATTAAACCAAATGGACATGAAGATTCATATGTTGTGTCAAGAAGCAACTATAAACACCTGTAAGCAAGGATAACGGGCTCTAGAATCTGCTCTCTTCTTTCTTTCATATTTCTAAGACATTGATTTTTGCCAACAATAACACTATGATAGATACTGGACTATTCCTCAACAAGTCGCACATCATACTATAAATGGCTGTAACTTAAGGCCCGGTGACCTTCTTGGAAGTGGCACTATAAGCGGACCTGTAAGATATCAACTGCACTTTGTGTTGTTTGTTCTTTCTCATGTTTGTATAGTTAAGAAAATATTTGAAAAATAATTTCGCAAAACTTATTAAGTTTGTACTCAAGATCAACATTTATAGGAGAGTACAAGCTTAAAAAATATATTCACTTGAATTGATTTTTTTTTGTTTCATCTGATGTGGTTTATTTGAATCTTATCCAATCAAGTCGGTTGGTGTCTAATGCAATGTCTTATATGCATACCTATCTCCCTTTCTAATCATTCAATGAATATCTCTTAACATCAGTTGTTTTGTAGGAACCAAATTCTTATGGAAGTCTTCTGGAGTTGACATGGAATGGGCAAAAACCTTTGAGCTTGGGTGGAGAAACTCGCACATTCTTGCAAGATGGAGATGAAGTCATTATTTCTGGTTTCTGCAAGGTTGTTCCCCTGAATTGATATTTTCTCTCCTCTAACTATACTTCGTAATGTATTTATTTATCAACTACGTACAAGTTTTTGCTGGTTGATTGTGGCTGAACTATAGCATTTGTGATCTATGATCATTTGAGCTTGTAGGATAAATCTATACTCTCGGAACTGATTACGTTTTTGTTTGCTTGTGAACAGGGTGATGGCTATATGGTTGGTTTTGGAACATGCTCAGGGAAAATTCTTCCTTCCCCAGCTTGACACTAAAAGGGACGATTGAATCTCCATGCTCTTAGCCTGCATAATAATGTGCTTAGGGCGATTGGAGCTTCTGTTTCTTTATAAAATTTGAGTTGAATTGAGGAACTAATAATTTTCATGTTTTTCCTTGGAAAAAATGACTCATATATCATAAAAATAAAGATGCCAAATAAAAATGTGACCACTTGTACATAGTAATTACATTACTAATTCTAACAACTATGACTATTTTAAATTTAACACCATTGTAACATGACGGGTGTAAATGAAGTTTAAACAGGAGTTTTAGAACTCGATATGATATTTCTAGCTAATGACATAAAATGCTTAAAGTGGAATAAAATACTACGTACTACCCTTTCACACTAGCTCTATTCTTAAATACTACGTACTACCCTTTCACATGTTGTACTTCGACAACATTTTATTTATTATTGTATTAGAAATAAACTTTTAAAAAAATTGTTAAATTCCTTCCATTAATTTTTTTTTCAAAAACTCATTAGTTTTATTTTTTAAGCGGAAACTATCAAATATGCTCTCATACTATATTGAAAAAACCAATTAGACCCTCGTACTCTACAAGGCAATTTTCCGTTTTTTCATCCAAACTGCATACATCCTCCAGAATGCTTCTTGAAGATGAGGTAGCATCCCCTTCTTTAGTAGTTTTAAAGAGGGAACTTCCTATGCAATGATATTTATCTCTTATTTTATCACCCCAAACAAAAGGAGTAGATCTTTTTTTAGCATAGATATAACTTTCCCGGGTAGCTTATTAGTTGCAAAAAATGCTGAGGAATTGATGCTAAGACGTGTTTTATGAGAAGAAGTTTACCCCCTTGTGATAATGTTTTTTTCCTCCAAGCCGAGAACTTATTATCAAATTTAGTAAGAAGAGCCTTGTAATGGAAAAGTCGAGTAATTCCCTCACGAATAGGAACCCCCTGGGTATTTCAGGGGTTAATACCTTTTCCATTGCTTTTATCCTATTACTCGGAAGTTTGGTGACAAAGATGCTCTTATCTAAGTTAACCTTTTGATTGCAAACAGTTTGATATGATTCCAAAAAAACTTCAAAATACATCCAAAAAATGGATAGAACGTTTATAAGCACAAGATCATTCGTGTATGCTAGATGTGTTAGGGGGTAGGGTCCCCTTGAGATATTATAAAAATCAATCTTGCCAGTTGCACATCAACTCTTCAATCCCCTTGTGAAGGTTTCTGACATCAATATGGAATAATAAAAGAGAAAGAGGATCTCCTTGTGTAACTTAACAAAAATGATCTTTGTACCCACTCTTATATCCAATTTTATACCCACCTATGTTTGTGAAGTGTTTTTTTTTGTCTGTGAACCCCGGCTCACAGACAATATTTTGCACAAACAAAATATTGTCTATGAACCGGGTTCACAGACAAAAAAAATCTCCACAAACATGGTGGGTATAAGGTATAAGAGTGGATACATCAAGCATTGTTATTAACTTAATCCCACGCTCCGGTCTCAAAAAGCACAACTACGACCATTGATAGGAATTGAAAGATGAGTGGCTTCCAAATTACCAAGAACAAGTTGAGTGAAACCCTGAGAAAATCCTAATCTTAACAAAATCCTAATCACCACGATTAAGATATCCTATCAACCGCTTTGGCCACAGCTAATTTAATAGCAACATTAGAGCCCCTACTCTTCTTATTAAGAGAGTGCATGCACCATCTCACAAGTATCAACATTTGATCATTTAGGTCCTTGTCTTTTATAAATCCATTTTGTTATGGTGATATTAGTTTAGGGAGAAGAGTAGCTAAACAATTAATCAATATGCGAGTGTTAACTGTGCCAATGAAAGTTGATATAGTGATAAGGCGATATTGTCCAAAATCGGAAAGATAGCTAGCTGCTTTTAAGGATGTTTTTACTTGGATCGTAATTTATTGGTCTGGTCTATCTGGTCTAATCTGATCTGGTCTGAACTGGTCTGATTTCTTTGTATGTTTATAACTATCCAAGTCTGATCTGGTCTGGTCTGATCTGATCTGATCCAATCTGGTTTGGGACAGATTACCAGTAAAGACATCCTAACAACTTCTAAAAAATCTGGATGACCGAGTCACATATTCTGGAATTCAAATTGACGATGTCCACTAAAATTGGGATTGATCACACTTTAACAAGATGGGACAATAGTCTGAAGAAATGTAACTCAAATGTTGGGTAAATCCTTGAAGTATCAAAGGACTCCCAAAAGCATCATTAATTAAAAACCTATTCAATCTTCCCACACTTGATCGTTGGAGCGAACCCCATGCCATGTGGATGACAATCCTTGCAAAACAAAGAGCAGAACTATCTTATAGTCCCTTTCATAGGAATAGAATGTCGTTCGTGTATAGTCGTATGTTTAAGTCTAGTTCAATAGTAGAATATACTTGAAAAAAGTTAGGAAATTTCTAAAATTTTGATTCAACATTTGAAATTCCCTTAGGCTAAGTTCGTGTATAGTCGTATGTTTAAGTCTAGTTCGGACAATATCAAATTTGATATGAGCTAATTTTAATTGGACAACTCAATATAAAAGATAACAATTTTAGCTGTACGTCGATAGTATAAGCCATGTTCTCTGTAGGGGTGGATCTAGGTGGACTATGTGGGGCCCTACTTACCTGTATGCAGTTATGCACATAAGTTCACCAATGCTCTTATGAGCCATATTAGTTAACTTGCTGAATAAATGCATATGTACGCGCAGATTGCATAGAGACATTTTTGGAGAATGAAGACCGTTGGATTCACACTTGCTCCTCGGTGACTCACCAAACATTATATTATATTGTGTGTATGTGTAAGTGTGTTGTATACTTCGTATATATTATTATTCCCACATTTGGTTATGAAATCATGCATGCATGTAGTCTTACTTCAGCAGGTTATTTTTGACAAACTAATTAATCAAGAGAAAATTATTATACTCCCTCCGTCCCACAAACAACTTCCCACTTTCCTTAAATGGATGTCCCAAAATTAACTTCACACTTCAATATTTTCCTTATTTGGCAAATTATCTACATCAAAAAAGTGATAAACAGTGCCAAACAGTGTTTAAACAGTGCCAAACAGTGTTTAAACAGTGCCAAACAGTGTTTAAACAGTGCAAAACAGTGCACTCTACAGTAAAGTCAAATTTATTTTCTAAAAGTGTGTGAAAGTCAAACCGGGAGGTTGTTTTCGGGACGGAAGGAGTATAAGACTAAAAGATAAACAAAGTGCACATATAAAATTATCATTATTTTTTTTCTAAAATAGGACTTATTCACTCCTAAGACCATTTGGAGTGGTGCAAGAGTCTAAATGTTAAAAATGGACTACGTCGATATGAAAACAGTGTTTTGACTCCTATTTCTCTGCATTCCAGCACCGTCAATAAAATACACTCTGCACATTTTTTTACATATCAATTTAGTAAAACATTAATTAAATTATTATAAATAATGTTTTCCTTTTAATTTTTTCTTTGATTAATTATAAAAAAAAGACACATTTCGATGTAAAAATAAATAAATTTCATTAATATTTTTTTTTACGTTTTTCGCTGAAGTGATTTTAAACACATTGAGGTGTTTATATAGGATTGTCAGATAAAATAAATTATTTTAACTGTTGGATTTCAATTTCAGCCATTGGGTCATTTTTTCACATTTTATCAGTGTCCAAATCATCACAACCGTTGGACCTACTAATTAAAAACAACCATTCTTGATGTACACGTTTTTATACTCATCAGTACACGCATGTGTCTGTGAGAGTTTTTTTTGTTTGTGAAGCGCGGTCCACAGACATAAGTTGGCTTGTTTTGTCTGTGGAAAATTTCACAGACAAAACAAACCAGTTTTTGTCTGTGGACCGCGCTTCACAGACAAAAAAAAAACTCTCACAGACACATGCGTGTATAGATGGGTACAAAAACGTGTACAAAAGGAATTTTTCAATTAAAAAAAACGTTGTGGGTGCTGTGTGACACCAGCACAACGTCATCATGACATCAGCTGGGCAAATAATTCCCTTGCACACTTGGCTAGCTGGCCTCTTCCCCCTGCACACCCACCTGCCATACGCCCACTTTTCTTTTTTTTTCTTTTTTTTTCATTATTTTCTTGGCTGTCTAAATTCCTCCAAATATAGCCACTTTCCTCTCCAAACCCATTTTTAATACCCTCTTCAATCAACCAATGCATGAAATTAGGAGTCTAAAAATGCCATTTTTAACATTTTGGACTCCTAATACCTTACCACTCCAAATGGTCTAATAGGAGAAGATTATACTTTTAATAGGATCAAATGAGTCCAATTTTGAGAATAAAGTACTATACATGTAGTCCTATTTGTGCATTTCGTCTAACTTTTGGTCCTATTTAAAACAATTTCTAATCCATCAACTAAACTAGGAAGTATATAAAGTTCCTTAACTTCATCCATCCTTAACTTAATCCATCAACTCTGTCCCTGTTACCTCACACTCTAATAATATGTGTACTAATATCGAGCTAACATGTGTGCTTGCATCGATCGATGTGTTTCTAATATATGCGTCCTGTGCGTGTGTTAGGAATACCCAAACTCAGGATTCGAAAAGGCTTTTGATTGGTTGTTTGACTTCGAGAATGGTCCTTTTATGAAACCTACGAAGAAAAAATCTAAGAAAATTGTGAGATGTACTCAGGTATGTACATATTGTGCATTTTATTCTGACGTTTTGGTTCATAAATTGCAGCACTAACATCGAATCCTACATTACTACATAGATGCACTGCATTTGTGTGTATAAACATACTTAAAATATTCTTAATTAATTAGTTGAAGCTCATAGCGTTATACGTTACGTAATACTACCTCTGTCCTAATTTGATAGTCTCAATTCATATTCACTTGGTCAACATAAATCATTCGTAATCTCTTACTTTATATATCAAACTTTTATCAAATTTGATTCCGACTTTTGCGACTTTGTAAAGTTTTTAATGTAATTTCTAAATATGTAATTTTTTTCTAAAAATAATTTGAGTGCGAACAGGGATCTGTTTGCTTTATTATTGGTCAAACATCGTAAACCGCAACGAGACTATATATCATTTTGGGACGAAGGGAGTATTACTTAATAGAGAGATTTGCAATTTTAATCTCGTAATATTTAGTTGTGTCTATAATATTATGTGAGTGGCATTTTTCGTTTGTGCCGCGTTGCATTTTCTTCATAGACGTGTTTCTCTGATAGTTTGTTACCTAGAGTCCTAGTCAATGTGCAC